GCACGGGCGCTGCCCCCTGCACGGGCGCTGCCCCCGGCATGGCCTGGGGCACGGGCACTGGCGCTGCCGCGGGCGCTGCCACGGGCACTGCCCTGGGCGTGGGCGCTGCCCCAGGAGCAGGCGCTGCCGAGGGCGCTGCCCTGGGCGCGGGCAGCAGCAGTATAACTCCTGAAGGCCCACTGCTACTCACTGGGCTGGTTTTTGCAGTGGTACCAGCAGCAGGGCTATTGCTTAGCACATGTTGCTCACCACTCTTGAAAACCCAGGCTCCAAGCCTGGAGCCTACAACTTTGCTGAACTTCAGTCTAATACAGCTTTCCATGGCTGGCGTGGTCTTGGATTTCTGCAATGATCTGGCAGCTGACATGACTGTTGGAGAAAGCACGGGAACACCAATGAGGTCCACAGATGATTTCTGAGAAGGAACTGGTGGCTCAGAGGCAGAAGGTCTTGGAGATTGCAGAGTGGCCCTTGCCTGCTGTGCAGGAGAAGACTTCACTGAGGAAGTAGTGCCTGGGCTTGAGAAAAGCCTGATGGGTGAAGGTGGCAGTGTCACCTCCTTCCTCACTGCTGAAGACTGGGATGACACTCTTGGAGGTGATTCTAGGTCTTTCTTTGAAGGTTGACTCACATTGGCTGTGTCATTCAAGCTCAGTGACATCTTGGCTGGACGTTTGGCTTCCTTCTGACCCTCGTCCTGATACTGGTTGACCACTTTCTCCGCAGCAGTCTGTGGTCCATTCATGAACCAGTGTAAATAATGATCTACAGAGAATTGAAATGGGGAGATCGTATTAACATTTTCCTCAGCTTCATAGGGTGGTATCATCCCAGAGACAAGAGGGTCATCAAGGGACTGCATGACATGCAGTTTCACTTTTTGACCCTGAGTACCAGCATCACTGTCAATGGAGTCACTGGCATCTGCCCCACAGTGTGCCCTGTCAGGTGATTTTGAGTCAGTAGGCTTGGGAAACTTTGGTTCTTTGGCATATTTGTCCAAGTCCACTTGCGAAGGCACTGCCAGGTCAGGAGAATGTTGTTTCCATGCATCCACACAACTGCCAACTTTGGAAATTTTGAGGTCAAATGGCTGGCTGACTTTTCTATTTTTAATTTTGGAGCAAGAAGGGAATGACCTGAACTGAGATGGTGGTGGAGAGTCAAGCAACTTGGTCTGCTGGGTCTGAGAGGTTATAGAGTACCTCCGGAAACACTGCTTCATTGAGTGAGTGTTCATCTTCTGCTGGTTATAAAGCAGTCTATTTTCAGTGCAGGCTACGGCTACAGATGGTTCAAGACACAGGGGCTCAGCTGTGGCCAAGAGCAGCTGGCTCTCCAGCTCAAGTTTGTCCTCCTGGGTCCATTCATGGCCATCGTTTGTTAAGGAATGCACATCATGGACTAAAGTCTGCATTGTTGGTCGTAAGAGAATATGTCTACTTTGACAGTTAGAATAGTGCATGTTACTGCACTGCCTATAGTCACGAATTTCTGCAATGACACATCCAGAATAAAAAATAGCCATCTTAGATTTTTCTAGGAGATCAATCAAAATAGGAGGTAATTCTTGGGCATCCAAGTAGTCAAGGAATTCCTTTTGTTCATAAGGCAGTTGAATAGTCTTAGATTCGGATCCATTTTCCCCCCTCAACATCAGCGAATAGCCCTCATTGCCAGGGTAGAGAGTGACCACCAAACAGGCCAACTTCTCTCGAGCAACAAGCTTCTCTAGCAGGTTCACATTTGTTCTTAGTCCCTCCAAACCCTCGGTCTCTTTTTCACATTCTTCAGCATATATGTCATAAAGCTTCTGAAATATGGACTTCCTTTCAGAAGATGAGTGTTTCCTTTTAGGAGGTCTCTCTTGGACACTTTCAATGAGATAGTCCGCACGATCCAAAGCTTTTTCTAAATCGTGCTGCATTGCAAATGCAATCGGTCCCTAAAAGAAGAGAGAAAATACGTACATTTACCAAACTAAGTGGGGCCCTAAAAGAAGTGAGAAAATAACGTGCAAGGGGGATGAATAACCAAGGGGGGCGAAAGCCATTCTGTAATCTTGGTCACCTCTTGCTGCAATAAGCAGTATCTCTGCTGTGGAGTTTGCAGCCTTTTTATATTACGTACACCAAGAAACTCACCCACCCTTGCCCCCCAAAAGTGTTACACATATTTATCTTGTTTTCTATAGAAAATTCTTTTTAAATTCCTAACAAAATTGGTACCTTCCGGGAGTCGCAACCAGGTCTCAAAATGGAACCCTCGGCGGGGATAAGCTTCTCAAGTCACAACGTGGCCGCTCGGCCTCAAAGTCTGTGACGCAAGATGTAAGACGCATGCGCACACACCAGATGCACCCGGGCTTCCCACTTCTACAACCGGTTTGAGATACTTCCTCTTCCTGCTTTCCTGCTTTCCTGCTGGTGGTGGTGTAAAGAGATGAATGCACCTTTCCTTTTTCATAGACTGTGGACGACATAGGCGGAAAAGTGTAAGGAGCATTAGGAAAATAAATAGATTTATTTTTTGCTATGACCTTGATTATGTACCAACTTTTTAAAAAGAAAGTCATAGAAAATTGTTTCTTATTTCTGTTTCTTTATTTTGCTGGTAACTTGACACAAATTTTTCACTGTTTTGGGAGTCTCTTGGCAGTGTTACCCTTGGTGTCTGTCTCCAGTTCCCCCCCCTCCCATTAGCTTGCTTTCGTATCTCTTGCATATGTGGTGGTGGTATAAGATGCTCTCGAGTCAAGTACCCATAGCGACCTTACAAATAACAGATCTGAACCCTTTCCTATCATGTGCCAACCTTACAATTCCTGGCACATTGGAACATTGTCAGTGTCAATCTGTCTAGTTGAGAGTTGCCTTCTCTTTAGCCAGCCCTTCACATTTCCAACCATGATGGTACTTCTCCAGGGAATAACCTAACCTAGCAGCATGCCTGAAGTACGTGAGATGAAGCTTTATCTTTGCCTTCGAGGAGCACTCTGGCTGTGCTGTCTCCAATACATATTTGTTTGTTGGGTTGTTTTTTGGGGGTCTTTTTGGCAGTCCGTGGTATACCCAGTACTGTTCTCCAACACCACAATTCAAAGGCATCAATTCTGTCATCCTCATTGATTGTTTAGCTCTCAGATGTATAGAAAGTGACTAGAAAGACCATGGCTTGAATAAGATGCACCTAAGTCCTCAAATTGACGTCATTGCTCCTCAGAAACTTGGAGAGCTCCTTGACTGCAGACTTTGCAGTGCAGTATGTCTCCTGATTTCCTGACTGCTGGTACCAAGGATGTTGATTGTGGATCCAAGTAAGATGTAATCGTTGACAAGCTTTGATCTTTATTCTATCATGACATTGCCTATTGGTTCAGTGCTGCAATGGGCTCCAGTGTGTCAGGAATTGTGAGGGTGCCACAGGATAGGACAGAGTTCAGATCTGTTCTTCTTACTGATTACATGTGCAACTCTATATATCTAGTGCAGGCATCAGACTTCTTTATTGTCTTTTCCAGAGTTGAAGCCCTAAGCACTCTTGTTTATGAGAATGTAACATTACCTCCTTACACATAACTTTTATTTTTTAAATAAAATTTTTGTCATTTTAACAAAAGTTTACAGAAAAGTTAGATTTTCATTCATTGATTGTTTCACATTTTACCGCTCTCCTTCCCTTCCCCCTCCCCAAACTGACTTCCCCCCACTATTTACAAAATTCTAATACAAATTTGAACAAATTCTTTTCATTTCCCTCACCCCCCACACGTGAACTTGTGCAACCCAATGATTAATCCCCTCTTCCCCCTGTACACCCACATCTCTCTGCTTCCAGCCTCTTCCACCCATCCTGGATCCGTATACTCCTTCTTCAATAATGGTCTTATCCAATATTTATCCTTGTGGGACTGAGTTCGTTCACTCAGCATAATGTTCTTCAGTCCCTCCCAAACTAGTTAATAATTTACAAAGTTATTGCTCCTGCATGCTGCATAGTATTCCATTGTGTGAATGTACCATAAGTTCTCAATCCATTCCATTGTGGTTGGACATTTGGGCTGTTCCCATGTTCTTGCAATGGTAAATAATGCTGCTGTGAACATTGGTGTACAAATCTCAGTTTGTGCCTCAGTTCTCATATTCTCAGTATTTTCCAAGTAGTGGAATAGCTGGGTCATATGGGATTTCTGTGTTCAGATTTTTGAGGAAGTGCCAAACTGCCTTCCAGAATGATTGCACCATTTTACAATCCCACCAAAAATGTATAAGAGTTCCTATCTCACCACATCCTCTCCAACATTTATTACTTGCTGCCCTATTAAACTTTCCCACTCTTACTGGAGTGAGAAGGTACCTCATTGTGGGTTTGAGTTGCATCTTTCTTACTGTCAGTGATTTGGAGCACTACTTCATGTGTTTGTTTGCCATTCTAATATTTTCCTCTGTGAAAATTCTTTCCATGTCTTTTGCCCATTTTGTAATTGTGTTTGCCTAAGTATTTTATGTGTTGATTATGTTTTCTGTGGATTTCACTTGAGAATAAAGGCACACAAAAGCATATGGCATTTTTTGTTTGGGGGAGTTTTTTGAGTGCTTATCTGTCAGTTTACTTTTAAAAAAATTGGTTAATTAATCCATCCACACACATTTTATTTTATAACACTAATTACAATTTATCAATTCCATTTATTATATCGTCTCACCAAATCTTCACTGTACTCACCCTTTCCCATCACTTTCCTCACCCATCCACTATTCTCTGCTCCTTTCTCACTCCCCTCTCATCTCTGTTAACTTTCCATTATAGCTTGTATCTGTGGGTAAGCCTTTCTTTAGCTTCCCACACAAGTCTGGTATGTATACCCTGCTCCACATTTCTGACTTGCATTTATTTCACAAAAGTGAAATGAAGCCTGATAAGATGAGAACTACTGCTGTGTTTGATGGCAACACAATTTAAACAATGAAAACTTTAGACCATAACTATGGATTTGGAGAAAATTATTTCATTAAAAAAATTATAGGTCATGGTTTTCTTAACTAAAACCAATTGCTTTTGCATGGATTTGGGCTAACGATGACCCCATGTTTTTCACCGTAGAACTGAACTTCATACAGTTTTTTAAGTCTTCTTGCTCCCTAAATCTTTCTCCTATGGTGCCTCTGGGTGAACACAAATCTCTACTCTTTCAATAAACAGTCAAGTGCCTTACCTGTTAGCTCCAGCCAGGGATGCCTCTGTGGTTTTTTTTTTTAATTTTTTATTAGTTTACATATAACAATTTGTTTATATTGTGTTTCATCGATGTACATTGTTTGCACCACAAAACTCTGCAATCTTGTGACCCTCCCTCTTCCCCACTGTCAGCACCCCTGTCCCCTCCCTTTCTCTCTTTGGATATCCATATCCATCTTTAGTGGTTATCTTTCTGTTTTAACAATAATGGCCATACAGTTCTTAGGCACTCGGATTAGTTCATTCAACATAAGGCTCTCTAGCCTCTCCCATGTTATACAGAATTTTCAAAATTGTTGCTCCTGAGTGCTGCATAGTATTCTATGATGCGAATGTACCACAATTTCTAAATCCAGTTGTTTGTTGATGTACTTCTGCGCTGTTTCCATGTTCTTGTTATGATGAATAGTGCTGCTATGAACATTCGTGTACAAATCCCCATTTGTGTCTCAGTTCTGTTTTTCTTGGAGTGTATTCCTAGCAGTTGAAAAGCTGAAGTCATATGCAATCTCTATGTTCAGCTTTTTCAGGAAACACCAAACTCTTCCAAAGTGATTGTATGATTTTAAAATTACGGATGTCTTTGTTAACTTGGTTACCTTAAATTCTGTTGACCTGTTGGGATAGGATTTTCAAAGATCTTACTGTTGAGATCTGGACTTTGTGATAGTATAATAGTGAGAAAAGTCTGAGTAATGAGAAGAATCCAAAAGAGATTGGTGAAACTTTTTAATTACAGATGACTTGAAAGGAAATGTAGTTTTATTACCAAAAGTAATGGTGATCATTACATATTATAATAGTTACAATATTATTTTTTAATTTTTTAATTAATTTTTTTTTTTGTGTACCATCAAATCGGATCTGACTGGTACAGGAGGAGATTGTCCCTCCTTCCCCAGCAGAGCATCTGGTGGATTTGAACCGTTTGCCTCTGGGATTGCAGTGCAGCTTCTTGCCACTAGGCCACCAGAGCTCCCCTAATAGTTACAATATTATAGTCAGTTTTAAAACTCTTTTAAAGAATAAAGTTTAATTAAAATGACCCTCATTCATGACAAGAGAGAATGATTTTCTAGGTGTCTTGGTGAAAAAAGATACTTCTGTAGCACTCCAAAGAGGTTTGAAGCAGTTTCGTTTCTTCTTTTAAATTAATTCTTCTCTGCCTCTCATTTTTCTTTCCACATATCTAAATTTAGACTAAGAACCAAATGATGAAACATTATTTTTTCTATTTGTAAATCAAAATACTCAAGTTGAACAATGCATAAATTAAATGATAGTCTAACTGCATCTGTTTCAGGAGTTGAAGGAAGTGAATTGGGAGCTTCAGTGAAAGCACTTGTGATTATTCTCCCAACTTGAATAGATGCACTTAGCAGCCTCACTGACTCTTCCAGGCTTATCACCTTGTCATTGCTTAGTTCATATCAGGTGCTAGAGAATAAGACAAGTAAATTAATTAATGAGTGACTCAAAGCTCTATTTTCCTTAATTCAAGACTCATAAAAACTCATATTAATATTTTATCCTATTTTTAGAGATGAGAAAAAAAAAGACAAAGAGCAAGGTCTCATGCTTTCAGTGATATGGTAAGGACCCTCAACCTGGGTACTGTTAACATTGTTATGGGAAGGTTGTCTTGTGCTTTGAGTGTTGTTTAGCAGCTTTCCTGTCCTTCACTTACTA